TCTCTGGATTACAAAAAATCTATCCTGGTCAAAGCACATAGATTTTGTGGTAGCTAAATCTCTCCGTAAACTTTTTTTCCTAAGGCGTTCTTTAAGATCAACCACACCAAGTATTCGTCTCCTCGCTTACAATGCCATTATCCGCCCTATACTGGAGTATGCTGTGGTCATATGGGACCCGTTCACTCAGACTGACATTCAAAAACTTGAAAGGGTGCAAAAAAAGGTTGTTAGGTTCATTTATAACTCGTACGGTCCTACTTCAATTACAAAACTTCTCTTGGAAAGCAAATTTCCAAACATTTCGGACCAAAATCGAATATTGCGCTTAAAATTTCTTTTCCAGTTAATAAAAGGTCACTATGCAGTTGACACATCACATATCATTCACTTTTCATTGGGTTACGAAACAAGACGGAGACACAATCTTACTATCTCTCCATTGATGCAACGAACAAATTGTTTCAAATATTCTTTTTTTCCGAGGACTATCGTGGATTGGAATAGTCTACATAACGATGTTGTTACCCTAAATACATTGTCTGCATTTGAAGAGTCACAGCAGAAATGATTGTTATCTATGTTTGTACCTTGCTTTTTGTTGATTCTCTTGTCTCGAAGAATCACTGCAGCTATCAGTTACATATTTTTGTATTACATTTGTTTCTGATTGTTTGTTTGCCTGTTTCCACTGATGTTTATGTTTATGTTTTGTGCCACCCCTGCTATGATCTTGTAAAAGATCGCAGTATCAATAAATAAATAAATAAATAAAAACATACTATGTTCATGATGCGTTTGCGGCCCTTTCGCGTGGCTTTACACATACCAAATTCGGTATTACATGACGTGAATGGACGACAAAGGTAAACGACACGTTCAAACATGATAATCATAATATGCGTGTCATGTAAAACATGACAACATCCTAGCTCATAGCATGCTCACAGAAGTTTCGCTAGCTCGACTTATACCAAATTAGGTATGAGGTACCGTGAATGGACGACGAACGTAAATGACACGTCCAAACATGATAATCATGATATGCGTGTCATATATAAACATTATTACATGCTATGCTCATAGCGTGCACGCAGCCGTTTTGCTTGCTCTTCATATACTGAATTTGGTATCGCTTGACGTGAATAGACGACGAAGGTAAATGACACGTCCAAACTTGATAGTCGGTACATGCGTTAGATGTAAAACATGACTACATGCTAAGCTCATAGCATGCTCACAGCCATTTTGCTAGCTCCACATAACACGTCATGTGATACAAAATTTCGTATCAGGTGACGTGAATAGACGACGGAGTATATAGATGACATGTCCAAACATGATAATCGGGACATGCGTGTGATTTAAAACATCACTACATGCTAAGCTCATACATGCTCGCAGCCATTTTGCTTGCTCCACATAACACGTGACATTATACAAAATTCAGTATCAGGTGACGTGAATAGACGACGAAGGTGAATGACACATCCAAACATCATAATCATGATATGCGAGTGATATCTGAACATGAAAATATGCTATGCTCATAGCATGAACGCGGCCGTTTCACTTGCTCCTCATATACTGAATTTGTTATCGCTTGACGTGAATAGACGACGAAGGTAAATGACACGTCCAAACATGATAATTGGGACATGCGTGTGGTGTAAAGCATGACTACAGGCTGAGCTCATAGCATGCTCGCAGCCATTTGGCTAGCTCCACATAACACGTCACGTGATACTTAAATTTGGTATCCCGTGACGTGAATAGAATACGAAGGTATATGACGCATCCAAACATGATAATCGTGCCATGGAAGTCATGTACGGCATAATTTAGGTCCACCTCGTAGCGTTATGATGATATTAAAGGGACATATCAACTTTCCTCATTTGTGCTTCCCATATAATTGATTCCCACAGGACGCGTGGGATCTGCCAACATTTGGCGCGTGTCTTTTTCGAATTTACCGCGTGTTTAGACGGCCTTTCGCCCCTTAGCGGTGTCTTTTGTACTTGGCCTCATGAGGAGACCACGATATCGCTGCTGGTCCAGCTGCTTCAACTTTTCAATCATTTTTATTACATTGTGCATCAATTTTCTGGGGACACAGCATTCGTGAATAAGTAACTTATTGAGAAGCGTTTTCGAATTGGTCTATTTTTTTTCTCTTGTCACATCAAGTGCATGTAGCCCTGTCAGTGGCTTCTAATTTTAAGTTTTCTCTACACATTCCCCACTGCTGTTAAATATGCGGGCTTTTATTCGTGTCTAATTTTCTAATTGTCTTGATTACGTGTAAATTGAAGTCTTCATCTTGGAGAAGCTGGGTATGCAATTTGCAAGTGTACCACGAGAAACTATTTCTTCGCTTGGAAACTCCAATAGAGCACTGAACGAAGCATTGGTCCGAATGTGATACTGGGACTACTTTACAACTGGTATAGTGTGGACGCATGTCGACAGATACGTAATATCGGCCATGAAGAGACCGGCGATGAATAAGCCCAGCGATGCAGAGACCAGCCATGTAGCCGGTCTTTTCATCGCCGTCGACTTTTGTTAACTGCACCGCTAGGACGTCTATGTCGTGGTCTGTTACAAGCCTATAAAGCTTACTTTGTTTTTTTTTTGCATGCCAGCCCACATACATTCATGGCATTGGCGTTTAACGGACACAAAGGTTTAACGAACACAAATCCGTCAGGTTCGGAATTGGCCAAATAAATGGCCTCCGTCTCTGACCAGTATTAACAGAATTTCCTCGACACCAGGCGCTGCCCTTGTAGCACAGTCGTTGTTCGCCTGAGGGCGGGTCTGCTTTGAAGCAGTGATGACGCTGGTCGGTGTGAGGACCCCGCTCTTCTAGGCAGGCACCTTGTTGGAACTTTTAAATTGCTGGCCTTGGGTCCTCGTGCGCTTGCTGTTGCTTAACCCATCGCATTGGACGACACAGTCAAGTAGTCCGCCACTCTTCGGGCCATTGGTGCGAAACCCTTGCGTATGCCACCTCCCGAAGCCAAAGGTAGAGCTTGCATTTTCTTCTGACTTTTTTTGTACCCAGACGTATCACGTGGATCTTGTTCATCGTTTGAATTTCATTGTAGCTTCGACTGTGTTCACGGTCATCAACCAGACGTGGTTGATCTGGTGCGCCCCAAACCCACTGCGACCGTGGCAAGGGTGTGTCAGAAGTCAGATGTTTCCGACCTTAGAAGGACGCCCACGCATGCCATCATGCAGAAACAACATATTGATACATTGAACTAAAAAAACAACAACACAGCCAGTGGGCAGAGTAGGTAGCCAATATTATATACGTTATCCTCGTCAGCCATCCTGTTTCCGAGGCCGACACGGGCCGACATTGCCGCTACATCGGACCACATATATCTGCGACCATTCGTTTTCGCTGCATGACGAAGAATCAGAGCCTCACCAGGTCTCGGAACAATTTGAGAATAAACCCTATGCAGGCGTAATGATAGTGAAACGTCTATTGGAGTCGCAGTGCTGCCAATCGAATTTTAAAAATATTACATATGTGCTTCAATATTACGAGTGTCACTTAGGGTTCAGCTGGAATGTAATTAAGTGCTCTCCACTGATGTTGATCTACGAATTGCTACCCACGGCTACCACCATAGCAACGACAAGCATATTTCAACTTAGCCTATTTGGTGTTGGTAATATTCATGTATCTCGGTGTCTTGACGCACAACTGACTACATAAAAATATGTGATTGTTCACCATACATATTTGTGCGTTTAACATCTGTACATGTGTTTAGTATCACTCTGTAACGTTTCATCTGACAAATGAATCACCGAAAATTGGGGGATGCTTAAGCTTTGCCTACGAGGGTTTAATGCGATAGCGATTTCCTGTCTCTCGTGCGTACTTCAACCACTTGTTGCATACATTTCATTGTATGACATTGCTCTAGAAGTTTACATTCTGGATAACTAAAGTGTAATCGTTAAAGTTGAAAGTGGCTTGTGTCAGTGAAGCCTTCGCATATGACGGCATTTTCTGTAATGGGTAGCATGCATTCGACCACGAGCAATTAAGTGAGGGAAATGTTTTCAAACTTGTCATGCACCCACTACGTAGTATTAATAGAACACGTGCAGTAACGTTCGTGAATTTCGTAATGGGTGGCCAGCTTGCAACTACGGAGTAAGTGTAATCTGATGTTCTCACGCATTATAGCAATGTTTGCTTGTACCACGCAATATTACTGTGATATTAGATGTTGTATATTGAAGCAAGTTCGATGCATGTATTCGTAGAACATGAAAGTTACATTCACTGCATTTTGGAGCGCAGGAAGTTGTTTCATTAATTTTCCAAGCAGATGCATGGATGTGGTGTAGAACACTTGCTTACCACGTGAGCGGCCTGTGTTCGCTACTCACTGAGACTAAGAAAATTTTGTTTCTTTGTTTTTATTTGGGGGAAGGGCATCTTTCTCTATTGTGCGCTCACCAACAAGATGACTTTTCGATCACAATGAACGACGCCCACGCCGACACTGACGCTGATACTGACGCCAGAATTGCTGCTAAACAAATTTTTTAACACTGTCACGGTAAAAATTACAGTCATGTGCCTTTCACGTGCCTCGAACGGCATCAATTCTAATAGTTCGTGGGCTCGGCGAAACTTTAAATTTTCACTTTATTAAGCCACCTTAATAATGCTCGCACATTCACGTAAAATGCAGCTATTGGGACTCGTCAAGTGTTAAAAAACATGAGTAAAGTCTTCTATAAGCATCTTTTACCATAAAAAACTGTGCACCAAAAACAGAAAAGTTATGTGAATATCCTACAAAAATTCGCAAAAGCTGTTGCTAAAGGTATTCATTTTCTCATTCTTTCCCCGCTGTTAATCATTGTTATTCATTCATACCGAGTAGCCCATCTTACCAGTCACTTGAATACAATGTTTTTTCATTGCTTTAAAAGTGAGAATTTTTTTTACCACTCACCGCCAGAAATATCCATTACATCATAATATGTGTAGTTCTCAAAATAGTTAACGAAATCTCCAATGAGGGTTGCATTTTTTCTGTAAAACAACAAAAGTATTTATTGTGTTAGAAATAAAAACAAGAGTTATCACAAATCCTTAAAAGCCTTACGTATCATTTCCTTCCTGGTGCGATCGGACAAAGACTATCCTCGCGGTTGTTTCGTTGTGCTTTTTATCTTTCTTGCAGCCTTTGGGTTGACTTTCGGTTGTGTTATAAACCCATATATCCTCACTTGTATTCATGAACTGGAATAAATACATAAAAAATGTGTAAACAGATCACGCTTGTTAGAATGCGGATAAGATTCTGCGAGTATGAATTGCTACTGGAGGTCGCATGAACGCAAATTTGCACCACCTCCAGTCACTAAAGACGAAGTGCATAAAGTGTCACAGCTTTACAAGCTCAGTATGTATATTCGTGCCTCAACATGGCATTTTTATTAGTAGTGTGACGGTGGCGGGTATGTCTCTCCAAATTCACACTGAAGTGGCATCGCAGTTGCTGTTCGTGCCCCTTGCACACAATGCCAAGTCTACAGAAATCAGCTTTGTGACGTCAGACGCCTAATTGGTAGCACATTCGTTGATGAGGAGCATTATTTATCATGATACATGCATTTCTATTCTCGTACATTCCACTTCTGCTGATAGTGTTTTGAATTGCCACATGTATATTGTTTAACGTTAATAGCATCGATTGCTACCTGTCTTTCGTTCTTACTATAGGTGTCTTGACCTGGAGAAGAATACCATGGCCTGTTTGGAATTGCCGCAGCAACATTATGTCCGCCAACTTAACTACCAAAGTTTAATGCACACAGTACACTGCATAACTCTACAACAAAAAAAAAGTTCTGGCAACTTCGCACCAGAGATGCCAAGCCTGAAGGAAATGTGACGAGCAACGACGTTCCTAATTTCTTTTTTTCTTCCTCTTTTTTCTTAATCGGTATTCTTTATTTTCACTCCTTCTCTCTTATTGTGTTATTTTACATATTTGATTTTGTTTCTACCTACTTATTCTCTTTATACCTCTCTTCCTTTCGATTTTTCGCTTTCCTCATCATCCTTTCCGCCTTTCTCTTTGTCTTTATGAATTTTTCTTTTTTGATTTTGTTTAATTCTTTTCTTCAGTTCTTACACTTGTTTATCTCTAAATCTCTCTCGCGTCACTGTGCGGCACTATTTACTTTCTTTCTTTCTTCTTCCGACCACTGACTTTTCTTTTTTCTCTCCCTTCTTCGTTGGACAGCATAGTTTCTCTGCGGCTCTTCCTCTTTCTTTTCTTCCTTTTTTTTTCTCGTCCTCTCGCTTGCTTCGATTTTATTTCTTTTTTTGTTCTATTGCTATTCATTTCTTTGTTTGTCTTCTTTCCATTCGGCCTCTTTATTTACTGCTCCTTGCTTTTTCTGTTTCTCTCTTTCTTATATAAGTCAAATGTTTGACTGTCTTCCTTTCTCCTTTTTCACCTCTGTACCCTCACATCTGAGTTCCTCAGGCTTACATCGATTTCCAACACTTTGCTATACTAGGTAATGTAAGGTTGGCGCCCTTACCGTCTCTCGATAGCAAGGTGGTTAAGGTTCAGGCCTTCAGGTTGTGGGAACGCGGATTTGAATCACACCTAGTGAAGATAATTTTAGAGGCGAAGCTCTTGAAGACATAGGCCGTGCGTCCGCAATGTATGTAGTAGTAGTAGACATAGTCGTCGTAGTAGTAGTTGGTAGCCACCTCCACGGCCTGACTAGAGGAGTAGCACGCACGCACTCTTTTGAATTGAGGAGGAAACTCACGCACATTAACAAAAAATAAAATATATAGTTGTTTCAGATGAAGTCACCTACGGAGACGAGTATCAGTGACTCCATCTCCAATAAAGTTTGCCTTAAATTTGATTATTACAAAAAAAATCTAGTAACAGAAAGACCCACTTTGAGTACTATCTGACCAGAAAAGGTTGTCGCGTTAAACAAGCTGAGCGTAACCTCCTTGGTTTCAGCAAGGTTTAGTGAGGTTGGTCCGCAGCACCATCAACTAGCGGTGGCAAAAGGTGGGAACTATACACGAAGCACAGGCCATAAGAAAAAGCGCGTGGTACTCCTCTTGTCCGGCCGTAATACTTTTCGTTTTGTTCTTGGAATGTCCGCTGGATGGCGGTACTTCTATATGATTAATATATGATGAAAAGATGCGAGATGGCAGTACTTGGCGTGTTCACCAGATGAAAGCACGGATGAACATATGCACGGACGGACGGACAGACAGATGCATGGACGGGTGGATGGACGGACGGTTGGTTGCATGGACGGATGCATGTACAGGCAAACAAACGGATGCAGGGATGGACGGAGGCATAATCGTATGAAAGGACGCACGGATGGTCACACCAACGGGCACATGGACGGACGGAAGCAAGCACAAACAGACTCATGGAGGCACGGATGGACTGATGGGCGCTTGTCCCCACTCATCATCATGCACTCTCTGGTTATGCTGTGATGTTTTTTTTTTTCGCCCAGAATTTTTCTTCTTTTTTTTCTAGTGCGGTTCTTTCTCTATCTCTTTTTCTGTTCATTCTGACGCCTATCAGGTTATTGAATCCTGCGCGCGAAAAATTGTTGCACTTGTTACGACAGTGTATGATATGAAGACAGCGATCATGAAAAAGAGGACTGAGGGGGCGCATGCTAATTATTGGTAGTGACTTTGTTTACTACATACAAATAACGGCAAAGCACAACATATACGCTGTTAAAACATTCTGCTTCTAGCGGTGAGGTTCGTTGTTGAGTCGTGGAGGACTTCATATTCATAGGCTTGGTGGGTCGTCTGCGTACAAGGTACGTGTACTCTTATAACCCCACTGTTCATTACATGACAATCATTATATTTTTATAGTGTAGTTCTAAACCATAAATTACATAAGTGCTCATCTGGCGCCACCACAGAGCTTCATCATCATCATCATCATCATCATCATCGTCATATTCATCAGCCTGACTACGTCCACTGCAGGACAAAGGCCTCTCCAATGTTCCACCAGTTAACCCTATCCTGTGCTTGCTGCTGCCAATTTATACCCGCAAACTTCTTAATCTCATCTTCCCACCTAACCTTCTGTCTCCCCCTAACCCGCTTTCCTTTCTGGGAATCCAGTTAGTTACCCTTAACGACCGGCGGTTATCCTGTCTACGCGCTACATGCCCGGCCCATGTCCATTTCTTCTTCTTGATTTCAGCTATGATATCCTTAACCCCCGTTTGTTCCCTAATACAATCTGCTTTCTTCTCGTCTCTTAAGGTTACACCTACCATTTTTTCTTTTCATTGCTCGCTGCGTCGTCCTCAATTTAAGCTGAACCATCTTTGTAAGTCTTTAGGTTTCTGCTCCGTAGCTAAGTACCGGCAAGATACAGCTGTTATATACCTTTCTCTTGAAGGATAGTGGCGATCTACCTGTCATAATTTGAGAGTGCTTGCTAAATGTGCTCCACCCCATTCTTATTCTTCTAGTTACTTAAACCTCGTTGTTCGGCTCCGCGGTTATTACCTGCCCTAAGTAGACATAGTCTTTTACAACTTGAAGTGCACTATTACCTATCTCGAAGCGCTGCTCTTTTCTGAGGTTGTAGTACATTACTTTCGTTTTCTGCAGATTCACTTTAAGACCTACCTTTCTGCTCTCCTTGTCTAACTCCGTAATCATGAGTTGCAATTCGTCCCCTGAGTTACTCAGCAATGCAATGTCATCGGTGAAGTGCAGCTTACGAAGGTACTCTCCTTTAAATCTAATCCCTAACTGTTCCCATTCTAGGCCTCTAAAAACCTCTTGTAAACACGCGGTAAATAGCATTGGGGAGATTGTGTCCCCTTGCCTTACACTCTTCTTGATTGGTATTTTGTTGTTTGTTTTATGAAGCACTATGGTAGCATTTCATCCCCTGTATATTTCTTTAAGGATGTTTATATATGCTTCATCGACGTACTGATTCCGCAGTGTCTGCATGACGGCTGATATTTCTACTGAATCAAACGCCTTCTCGTAATCTATGAAGGCTATGCATAGTGGTTGGTTATATTCTGAGCATTTCTCTATTACCTGATTGATAGTATGAATGTGGTCGATTGTTGAGTAGCCTGTTCGAAATCCTGCTTGTTCCTTTGGTTGATTAAATTCTAATGTTTTCTTTACTCTGTTAGCAATTACTTTTGTAAATAGCTTGTATACTACAGAAAGCAAGCTAATCGGCCAGTAATTCTTCAAGTCCTTGTCATCTCCTTTCTTATGTATTAAGATGATGTTAGCGTTCTTCCAAGACTCTGGTAGTCTTCCCGTCAGGAGACACCTCGTAAACAGGGTGGCTAGTTTTTCTAACACAATCTGTCCTCCATTTTTCAGCAGATCTGATGTTACCTGATCCTCACCAGCAGCTTTGCCTCGTTGCATGCTCTCCAAAGCTTTTCTGACTTCTTATATCATTACTGGTGGGGTGTCATCTGGGTTACTGCTAGTTCTTATAGTATTAAAGTCGTGGTTGTCCCGGCTACTGTACAGATCTCTGTAAAACTCCTCCGCTATTTTAACTATGCTATCCATATTTGTAGTTATTTTGCCTTCTTTGTCCTTCAGTGCATACGTCCGATTTTTGCCTATCCCAAGTTTTCTCTTCACTGCTTTGACGCTTCCTTCGTTTTTCAGGGCGTGTTCAATTCTCTCCGTGTTATACCATCTTACATCGGATACCTTACGCCTATTAATCAACTTCGAAAGCTCTGCCAGTTCTATTTTGTCTGTTGTACTTGAGACTTTTATGATTTGACGCTTCTTAGGCGAAAGTGGAATGCTGCTGTTTTTTTTTTAAGTTTTAGGAGTAAAGCTGGTTATGAGCTAGAGATTTCCGTTGCTGTGGCGGAGGCGTTGTAAATAATTGCCAGCGCTGTCAAGTGTAGAGGAATCGATCTCTCAATGATGCACCGGTCACATGAGTATTTGTATGGGCAGTTTTCCAATAATGGATGCTCTCTGGACCGAGTTCAGCGATCACCGGTTTCTGATATGGCATATTATCGTCGCTGCCTGAAGCAACTAAAGTGTTGCGCGGCTAAGCAAGCAGATGAAAGTTCGATTCGCGACATGGAGGACGGAGGCAATTAGGAAGGAACATTGCGCGGACGGATGGATGAATGTTTAGACAGACAGACACATGATAGATAGATAGATAGATAGATAGATAGATAGATAGATAGATAGATAGATAGATAGATAGATAGATAGATAGATAGATAGATAGATAGATAGATAGATAGATAGATAGATAGATAGATAGATAGATAGATAGATAGATAGATAGATAGATAGATAGATAGATAGATAGATAGATAGATAGATAGATAGATAGATAGATAGATAGATAGATAGATAGATAGATAGATAGATAGATAGATAGATAGATAGATAGATAGATAGATAGATAGATAGATAGATAGATAGATAGATAGATAGATAGATAGATAGATAGATAGATAGATAGATAGATAGATAGATAGATAGATAGATAGATAGATAGATAGATAGATAGATAGATAGATAGATAGATAGATAGATAGATAGATAGATAGATAGATAGATAGATAGATAGATAGATAGATAGATAGATAGATAGATAGATAGATAGATAGATAGATAGATACGCTCAAGGTTGCCGATGTTCACTAAGAAATGCTTCACATTTGAAAATTGATTCCTGGACCTGTGCTTTGTGGACATACACTCGTCATCACCTATTTTCGAAGCCTAATTCAGTCGTATTACAAAGATACACTGATAACACTGCCCCTCATGCATGATGGTTGAAGATTTGACCGACTGTACATCAGGAATTGACGTCAGGCGAAGCATTCGAAGGGCAGGTGACCACGTTGAAACTTTGTTATCGAGTGACACGTTACAAAATGATTAGAATGATATGTAGAAATATTTTAGTCACGAACGTATGTTGAACAGGTGGCCATGTTTTATGTAACCAGTTGTTTGCACTTGCGCAACGATGCCACCAACATGAGTATTAGCAACACGAAAAGCGGTAAGCTTATGATATGTCACGCTTGCACTCGAGAGGATGGTCGCCCTGCACACTGCTACATAACTTAACTTCAGTTGATGGCACTTAACTACAACTGTCAATAACCCCACGACGCCGCTTTATCGTAGGAGTACATATGTAATGTTTATAGAAATGGATAGCCAACATTGCAACCACAATTCACGTTTCACAGACAATGCTCCTGAATAGTTTATTTTTTCATGGCAATGCCGAGACCTGGCGTGGCTCTGGGGTAGAATACTTGGTTGTCCCGCTGCACGCTTGGGTTCAATTCCTGTGGGGACCCTGATGATCGTAGGATCAATGCTGCCAAAGTTCATTTTCTTAATGTCCTTGCAATCAAATTACATATGTATATTTTCGATATTCGTGGGTACAAAGAAACTGTCAGTAACCTGTGGCACATGCTCGCATACCGGTGGCACATATCGACCCGCAGCTATGTGCCTCAAGTGTTTGGCGACGTACGCGACACGTTTGTGACATAACTTGTGCCACGACCAGCGCGTTATTTTTGTTAAACCTTCTTACTATATATTTCACACGAATTTTGGTTCACCGCATGTTGAGGGGGTGATAACGAGATCACCCAGATATAGGTGACTAGATAAATTGATAGATAGATACCGAGATAGACGCGAAAATTGCCCGCAAAGAAATGCTCCGAATTTAATAATTTTCAAACAGAACACCTCACTAGAGCTAAAGAAAAAATGAAGTTTTTCAGCCCTTCTCCTCAACTGGACTTACATAGTCAAAACGGTAAATTTCAGCATCCGCCAAACTTATCTCGGCTCCTTCAGTACTGCTATAGTCAGCCGCTTCATCCGTCGACTTTGCTGGTGCGGCTAGGAAAGCACTCACAACCAATGCAACAATTACCCGCCGGGACATGACTGTGCTTTTCAGTTTTCTTCGTCTTACAAAGCACACAGATAATGTTTGCTTTTATGTAGTCCTCAAAATACAGAAGCTTGTCATTCTAAAGAGTGATCAATGACATATCAAAGATCAGTACGTGAAAGGATGAAGTTTCAAATAACGGCACGTTCACATTTCCTGTTTGATACGTGGCTATTTTTCTGCTGGAAGACACGAAGTTCCTTCTGTATTATTTCTTATAGAAGCATTCAATGAACTTTTACAAACACCCTTCCTCTTTTCTAGGGTTAAAACAGCGGTTTTATACCGGTGACTATTGTAAAGGGCTTTTCCAGCTGTGATATGATGTCTTACTTAATGGTTTCAAAAAAATATCATGTTTTAAAAATCTCCGAATTTAGTCTAAATTGCTTGTTTTTGAACTCCATAGTTCCAGCAGCAGATGTCCTTTCAGAGTAAATCAGCTAGAAGTTTACATTGAACTCACACTTGTTGATTAGCTTTCGGATCATTTATAACTGGGTGTGTGTGAACAGTGCAATTGAAAACCGAATCGAACACGTGTCGAATAGTGATCATACCAAGCTGAATACAAATCGAATACTAATCCAATAGTTTTGAAATCGTAAGGAAACTATTTTCAACACAGGTTTAGAATTACAAAACATTTTAGTGACCACAAAACATTGACAAGCTTTAACAAAGTAATACTGTTATCTTGTTTGACAGAAAAAGATAGCATGAATATTTAAACTGAGCCTAGCTCGGACAACAGTAGTGACTACAACGTTCCACGATTTTCAACCCTTTACCTCTTACTTACAGTCTCATTAATACAGGTGTTTGCTGAGCACTGCAGGTGACTTTTTGTCATCATCGTTTTAGTAACTATAATGCCTAAAATTTCCTAATAATTCATTAAGTAACTATGTGAATCTCGTTGTAGTAGTAGTGCATTATTCGCACACTCGCATCGTCAGTACCGGAGTTTAAAGCAAAGAGTGTTCCATTCGGTGATGAGTAGACTTCTATGCTAGCCTAAGTGCTATCCGTATTGATAATGCACTTATTAAAACAAGAAAAAAAGTTTACTCTTGCAAAGTTTTGAGCCTTTGTTATTTTTTTGAAGGATATCCTGAAAATATTTGGTACTTTTCATATGTGCTACTCCATTTGAGTGCTGTATCAAATAGAACGTTGTTCGATTAAGATTCGAAATTTTCGAATACTCGCACAACTCAGTGAATATTTACAAAAGCGAATTGTACCCAATTCTTGCAAGTATTATCCGCACGGAATGAATTGAGAGTGCGAATCGCGTTTTGAACCTATTGTTGACAAATATGTATGAAATATGCCCCACTCTTCCACATATTTTATATCAAGGATCACCGTTATGTAAATGAAGGTGTGAAAGCAGGTCTTACTCTCATTCGTTTCATTTCAACCTCATGAGGAATGGCTTTATTGTGCTCTTTCCGTCAGCTTTTTTGATAATGTCTTCGTTCGATTGTATGCGTAATAATTTCCACTACAAGTATTCACGAAATCGCCGAGAAAGAAGCTTTAAAATGCATCTAAACTGCTAAAAGGCAAAAAAAAATTATTTACTAATAAAGCCGTTCGCAAATTTAAGTGCACAAATGCTTAACTTCCAGTATGGACCGTTATCTCTATGCCTGAACTATTTTTTACTCCTTTTTAAACACCGCACAATTGAGCTCCATAAACACCACACAACTTCAGCTCCATAAACTGATATGCCAAAGTGACGGCAGAGACAAGTAGCAGGGGTGATACATCCGTTAAAAAATGGCACGTATCTGCATGTTAATCTGCAAATTTTGTCGAAAGGCGATATTATTGCGTGGGAAGAGAGTGAACAAAACATTTATTTGATGTTCTGCGCAAGAAAATTGGTGAATGGTGTTCTGGAGACGCTGCGTTAGAGTGCCTCGAGCGTGCAGTGGAGGGAAACGAGCGCTTCAAGTCACGTTACACGTGAGACATGAGCGCCATCTGGCAGTTTTCTGAGAAAACGTAGCGCATGACTCTGAGGCGGGTGTGCGCCCCGTCTCAGAGGTGATAAGGTATAGAACGCAAAGCAATGGGTAGGTGCCACCACCATCTCATCTTAGCAAAGCATTGGAAACACTCGCCTTTTCGTGCAAGCGTTGCATGGTCAGCGCACCTTGATACGCACTACGGTCCTTAAAATTACTTATGTATGCCTTTTCTAGTAAAAGATGCACACGCAGATTATATACGTGTTGTTATGGTGCCCCAGACATGCGCAATAATTGATTTTAATTGACGATTGCACAAGTATGAACGCTAAACATTGAGCAACATTGGTGGGCGCTGCGGATAGGGTCGGCTGTTTCAAGTACCGGAGGCCATTAAGAGTGGACAAGCAGACAGACAGACAGACAGACAGACAGACAGACAGACATACAGACAGACAGACAGACAGACAGACAGACAGACAGACAGACAGACAGACAGACAGACAGACCAAAATTTTCGCTTCCAAGGACCCCAATAAAGAATATCGTCCTTAATATTTGTATTCATGCGGGCCCACTGACGACAGCCCGCCATGCAGTCGGCAGTATAGCTCCGTCTGTTGGTGCCTTTCAGTGACGAAGCTGTTTACGCTTTCGGTTACTTATGCTCCATCATAAGAAACACGTCATGGTAGCCAGTGCCACACGGATTGCGCCAGTTGTACTAATATGTACAGCAGGTGCGAGTGTTTAACAACGTAGAACACGTGAAAAAACAAAGAGAGTAACACATAGGAAGAGCAAGACAAAAATATACAGGAATAAATCAAATCAAGGCCTTGATATCTCTTTTTTTCTCGCTCGTTTGCAGAAGGTGGAGCGGATTTCATAGCTGCCCACTTGCATAGTGTTTCACTGTACAAGCCATATCCGCCGATCAATCCGACACCGTTGTGTGCAAAGTAGAATGATCTCTGTACCTTCTTCCAGCAGTTTGCGTTCTTGTAAGAGGGTTGACTTCATGCGCAAAGCAGCTAATAGTAATAATATTTGTTGTTCAGCGTCCCAAAACCATATGATTAGGATGAGCATTGTAGTAGAGGGCTCCACAAACTTCGACCATCTCCTGTTCTTTACCGTGCACTTGCATCGCACAAGTATATACTTGCTTTCCGGATAGCCTCCCTGTCTTTATTCATGCCTTATATCTCTCTCTACAACGCACAGTACACAAGCTACTGCCATTAGGCATCCATCAAAATATGACCACCATGGCGGTGATAGGACCCGAGACTTTGGAGTCAGCAGCTAAGCACCATGCCAACTGCTCAACCGCGGCGCACACATACGCGAAACCGCTAACACAGCAGACATAAAGCGATCAACAGCAGTAAAATATACAAACATAAAGAAAGAGATACACACATACATGAAAAAGAGACATGAACAACAGAGAGAAAGACAAAAAGAGGAGTGAAATGAAAGAAGCAAAAGCACAAGAAGAACACACGGAGAGAGAGAGAGATGCTGAGAAAAATAGAGAGCGGAAGTTCTAGGAAATAAACGCAAGAAAAAGCTAGATAAACACGCAGTAGGGTTCTGGTGGTTATGATGATCGACTGCTAACTTGAGGTGATGCTTTTGCGGCCATGACGCTGACGCGAACGAATAGCCCTGGGAACGCTCGAAATTCACTGGAGTGCGCTAGTGAATTTAAGGCCCGTGAGACAAACAGAAACCATTGAAAATCGAAGCTAGCCCCTGCGCCGAACGTCTTGTGGGTGATCCCCATAGTTCGTTGTGCCATTCTTCCGGTAACAGTGTCGTCATCAGCAGTACAGACGTCTACGACTACCAGTCTTCATTTATTAGATTAGGTTGAGCCATGGAATCCGTAAATTCATCTCTGCCTGGAGCTGACACCGCGACTCAAGGTTTTACGAGGCAGCGATCGACACCTGGCGGTCTCCTTGGGCTCAGGTCTGCCCTTGCCTTTCAATGTGACAGCGCAAGGATAGGAAGGACAGAATGTACATGAATAAAAGTGAATCAAATTGTCTCAGCCCAGCCCTCAGAACAGTTAACTGTATGCCATCTCGTTGAGCATGAAAAGGAGCCTACTTGTATAAGACCAGCATCTACACTATTACGCCTCAATTAACTAGCTGCGAGACGAAGTCGAAGATGCATGGGATGCGTGATGTTTCGAGTTACCACATGTCCAGGCACATATTCCCTGCTGCGTATTTCTACACTATGGCACCACACAGCTGAAATTGGAGATTTTTACGCTACACAAGTACAGTTTATTGTGGACAAGACTGCACTTCTAAAATCTGCTGCGCGTTGCGTACACTACGTTTCAAGCTGCCTTGTACGGCATCAGTTTACCGCGTGCACAGCGTCTAAAACGTGTACTGCTCTTAAACGTCAACCGGCTTGCCTTCGAGTGTTGCTGCGTCTCATCTAGCGGTCAAGCAATAAGCTAGAATAACTGATATTAGTCTGTGCAACATACAAGTCAACGAATGACACCAACCGAGCTTTTCTGATTCCGAGTAATGCTTTGGGTCTTTGGAATAATCAAACTTCAATTTTCCTTAAGCTTGTGCAGAGCAAAGCAACACGATGGATACTGTGATGACGAGCGCAAGTGCTTACTGCAAACTGAAAATTTATTGTTTCCTACAAACATATTGTAAGAATAAGAGACATGAGTTACCAAACGATCAATACAAATTGACATCCGCTGGTGGCACCAGCGTCTTCCGCGAATGCCAGTTAGCTTATGCATTACAGTTCTTCACGTTCCATGAAAGCTGTTTCTTGAATAATGAGGGGGCCCATCAGTGTTCTCCATAAGCGAGAAAATCACCTTAGTTCCGTGAAACACGAGCATGCATCGCTAAAGCTACCACTTTCGTTTATGGCACATTGTCTGATTTTGTAGGAGATCCTTCGGAGATCTGCTGGTTAGACAAACGTGGCAAACACTAGAGCTCTTAGAAAATATACACACG